ATGGTAGAAAATTGGGTCTCACCATGCAAAATATCTATACTTGTCAGCTTGTTTTTTTTTAAACACTGACAACACCATACATGTCTAAATAAATTGACCTAAATTTTTGAGTTGACAAAAACAAAAGCACAGGACCCTTTTGACACCAGTGGGTATCTTGAGCACATGAATTTAGACTTATATTTTCTAGAACAATCAGCGGTCAGTATCATGCCTGCCTCCTTTACTTCCCAGGCCCTAACCTGGTGCCTGTTTTAGTCTGTGTCAACCTGGGAGCTAAGGTCATTTTTAAAGAACAAAAAAACCTCCATGATGCAGATTTGAATTCAAGACTTTTTGGCTGGTAGGCAAGTATCTAGCCTCTATACTATGGCAGTCTCCTCCTTCACTTTGACATGTCTTTCTATCGTCCATATTCTGTTTTGTATGCTCTATGTGTTGCAGGTTAATAGATGATCGATATCTGAGCTAGGGCGTGCTCATACCTGGTATGCTGTGATGATGTGGAGTTTGAAGGTGTCAGTTATTCATTCAGACCATCTTCTTCTGGGTCGTTCCATACCTCTTGATGTTTCTACTTTTCCTTTTGCCAAGGGCATTATACTTGCATGCACTAAAGATACAGCATGCAGAGCAATGCGGTACCTCCTTGGTTTTCCAACAATGGAAGCTAAAATGAGGATCTGTCGAGCACACGCCTTCCTTCAAGTCAGTGCCCACACACAATACCCACCGCACAGTGAAATCAGCAAAAGAAAAGGCAGCAGATTAAAGAGAGGCAAATCATGAATGGGTCAGGCCAAGAATATTATACAAGAGGTTTGTCCACTTGAGGACACAGAGCTTGAGGAAGAATGGATACATGTACCACCAGCATGTCATACGTCCTTTGAAGTTTGCATCAAGATGAACAGAGAATACGGACAACAAAACCCAGTAGTTGTAGAAGCAGATGTGCAGGCCCTGATATGTGAGAACTCTTCTGAGGGTGATCATCTACACAAACGGGTCTGTCATCTGAAATGTCAGGAGCTCATGGGCATTTACAGCTCAGGTCCGAGGGAGAACTGTCAAAGAAGACTGTGGTGCCTTCACCTTGATGACAAGCAGTTTGACTGTGGAGGTCATGGCAGCAACTAAAGCAATAGCCTGGCTAGAAACACAGACTTTCACCCGGACATGCTTTCTGAGCTACTTAATGAACATGCTCAAGAAGATCAAGAAGGGTTGCATACGAAGACAAAGGATGGAGTCACTGAAAATATCTAGGCTGACAAAAATCAGCTTGATATTTGTTCCAGGGCATTCTAGTGTAAAAGGCAATGAACAAGCTGTCAGACTTGCAAGTGATGCTCACGTGGGAAACGGATGAGCAATGGACAGAGCTGATATACCTCACAGAACCAGCTTGATTTAACTAATCATGTAATGATTGTGAATCTGTAACACTGATAAGACAACATGAACTAACATCAAAAGGGGTGAAGCCAGACACAAGTGCTATGCAGAGGGGCCAAAGAAGAATAGTAAACCAACACAACACTGGTGTCAGAAGCCATCACACACTGAAGGAGAGACTGAAGAGGGGATCTGAGCACTTATGAACTGGATGGTTCGATGTGCAATGATGATAATCTGTCGACTAACTAACTTTCCTTTTTGTCCTTTTGTACGTTCTGTTGCTGGCATCATTGCATTCATTCTCATTAAATGGTGAAACAAATTCAGTCTCAGTTTTTTAATGAATTTAGCTATAGGTGTTGTTCCAACAGTCTTTGTAATTTCTTCATTTCTCACATAATCTCTTTAAGTTTTCTTTTGTGTTCTTTAAAAACTGTCCAAGTCTGACACTGACAGCACAACGTTGGTGTGAAGACTGCATTTATTATTTGTTCCTTTTAGTCTGTAATAGGATAACCAAGTGTTTCACAATTTCAAAATACTTTGTCACATTACTCAATAATTATACTTACCTTACTACAGGTGTGGAGAATATTTAAAGACATATAAAGCTGTAGGAATGAATATCAGGGTGTTAACACACATAATAATTTATGTACAAACAAACACGATTGTTCTAGAGTTGCAAAAAATCTATTAAATGAAAACATTTTGCAGGTCTTGTTATATTTTTTTTTTCAAGCATAGTTTACTTTGATTCTTTGTATCCTTAGGAGATGAGCTTAAGAACAATGCTCATTCTTCTACTTCTTCTTTGCACTGACCAGTTGTAAACTCAACAGAAAGTTCTGGGTATTCATTCATCTCTGGACTTTAGCCTTGTTCCAGAATCTGAGTTTTGCATGCACGTCCATTTGTATGTGTGTATGCGTACGTACGTGTGTGTGTGTGTGGGGGCGAGGCAGAATGCAGCGCTAGATCTGGGTATAGCTAAATAAGCTACAGCTTAGGGTAGGACAATTCAACAGGCAGCCTGCCATTGGGTCTTGCATTTAAACTGAAGACCATAAGGCACTTATAACATGAAAAAATGAATCAATAATGTAAAGTTGTACACTTATAACATCAAAACATGAATCAATAATGTAAAGTTGTACACTTATAACATCAAAACATGAATCAATAATGTAAAGTTGTACACTTATAACATCAAAACATGAATCAATAATGTAAAGTTGTAGAAAATTGTGGTCAATTCATCCACTTCTGGACTTTAATCTTGTTGCCCACCATGAGCTTTGCATGCTCGTCAATTTACAAATCTAGCTTACTCATAGGCAGACTACTGGTTCCTTGTCTCTTGAGCAGATGCGCTCCAACTTTCATGGAGATACCCCTAACGTGTTCACTCATATGACTTGTTTGTTAGCGAGGCAGTGGGTTTATTTATTTCAGAATGAGGCTCCGGAATCCATATGGGGAATTCAGTATAGTAGAATTTGGTAATTGTAACATTCCTCTCCCCATTTGCACAGTGTTACACACTAGCTCACATCTGATTGGTCGACCTTTAACCTAGCTCACTTATGATTGGTTGACCCTTGAGCAATGCGACCTTGGCACAAAGTGACGGTGGTGTTACCCCAATGCCGTTGATATTGCATGGTCTATATTTCAGCACGCCAGTGCTTTTAACACTCCAAAAACATCAACAAACTGGGTTCTAACACAATCCCTTAAGTGAGTAATGAAACCTATGTCACAGACATTCTCTTTCTCAGAATAAAAATGTAAATGCAAGACAACCCAGAAAGCAAACAACAGAGCGGCACATCCGTAACATCCAGCAAGGTAAACCAGTCCAACAAAGTTATCAATGGAACGTGACCTACTTTCTCTAGGGAGACTATTGTAAAACTAACCCAGAATTTTACTAAATATGGAACAAAGTAAACTAACTATTTGTGCAATGTGTATGTGATGCCAGACTGATATTTTTATAGACCAGGTGGTGCTCGATGGGCAATTAGGTCAACACCCCACCAGCTGCCTTCCCAGGACATTGCCAGGTATTCATATTAGGTTGGGTTGTCTCAGAGCCAAGTCAATTTAAAATAACAAAATCTGTCTTGATGTGGATTTGTGCCCAAGAACCTTGGGTCAGTAAGCAAGTGTCTATATTCTATGCCACCGAACCTCCCATGATTCAGTATGCTCTTTATAGTTCCGAGATATTATTCTGCTTCTTCTTACATTAGCTGGCTGTAATCTCCGGCAGAAAGTTCTGGTTGTTCATCCACTTCTGGACTTTGGTTTTGTTGCAGAACTTGAGTTTTTCATGCATGTCCACTTTACAGATCTGGCTTGTTGTAGACTGTTGGTTCCTTGCCTCTCAGGCAGACTGTTAGTTCCTTGCCTCTCAGGCAGACTGTTGGTTCCTTGCCTCAGGCAGACTGTTGGTTCCTTGCCTCAGGCAGACTGTTGGTTCCTTGCCTCTCAGGCAGACTGTTGGTTCCTTGCCTCAGGCAGACTGTTGGTTCCTTGCCTCTCAGGCAGACTGTTGGTTCCTTGCCTCTCAGGCAGACTGTTGGTTCCTTGCCTCTCAGGCAGACTGTTGGTTCCTTGCCTCAGGCAGACTGTTGGTTCCTTGCCTCTCAGGCAGACTGTTGGTTCCTTGCCTCAGGCAGACTGTTGGTTCCTTGCCTCTCAGGCAGACTGTTGGTTCCTTGCCTCAGGCAGACTGTTGGTTCCTTGCCTCTCAGGCAGACTGTTGGTTCCTTGCCTCTCAGGCAGACTGTTGGTTCCTTGCCTCTCAGGCAGACTGTTGGTTCCTTGCCTCAGGCAGACTGTTGGTTCCTTGCCTCTCAGGCAGACTGTTCATTCCTGGCCTCAGGCAGAAAGAAACACCCTCTGTTTTCTTAACCCCCCCCCCCCCCCCCCTTTCCAATGGGGCCCTTGAACCCACAAAAGGATTCCATAGATATAAGTGCTGAGATTCTGTAGAAGGCACTGTTTATTGTCAAATATTAATGCTGATTTGATTTGAAGCCAACAAACACATTTGGTTCAGAAACATGCGCCTTCCAGTTTCATGTGTGGTTTGGAGAACCACAGTACAGGTCACAATGAATGTTTGCTACAGAAGTTAAAGTTTAAAGTCGAGATGATCGACTTCATTGCACCAGGTTTTATCCCATATGGCTCGGATCTCTCTTCCCAGACAAATAGCCCCCTGCTGGGAGCGCAGAGCAGAGCACAAACTCCGTAGCTCCGGCGATAACCCCCATGGATCTTCATAAAAATTGCACTGGTGAACTGTTGGGTACAGCCCTGAAACAAACCTATGATCTTCAGAACGTGAGGCAAACGGCTTGACCACTTCATCACAGAGACCCCTATGTTTGCTATTCTCCAACTCATTTGATAATTTACAATTAATGTTTGTTTTTGGTATAATTTAGACGACATGATGGGGACAGTGTGTTTTTGAAAGAGAAGGGGGGCAGTGAGAAAGAGAAAGAAATGGTTTGAAATCTGTTCATTGATACTGAATTATTTTTAAAATTCACAACAGTATGAACCCTACAGATTCTAGCCTCCTAACTAACTTGGAACAGAGATGCACGCCGAGACAGGCTGGCCTTGTCATTGTCGCTGTCATTGGATGGAGCAGAAGGCACGAGAGGCGGTAAACCGCTGGCTCTGATTGGTGGCAGAGTCACGTGATCCCCCTTGCGGCTGCTGTCACTCAAAGCTTCTTGTAGGGGTGGAAGTTTCATGGGTTTGCGACCTTCGGACTCCCAAGAGGCTTTGTTAAGGTGATCTGGAATGCTGTTATGATTGCTGACTCCATTTGGAATGTTTTGGTTTCCATTTTCAGTTGTCTTGTTGCTAATGGGTGGTAGACTTGCCTGGGCAGAAACAAAAGATGAGAAATGTGACAGAATATGCACAAATAAACGATTCTTTCAAAATTAATTACATTTTTCTATTAACGTCACAGTGCATCTTGGAGGAACCAACAGTCTGTATACAAATAAGCCAGATCTGTAAAATGGAACTGTATGCAAAACTCAAGTTATGGAATAAGATCAAGGTCGAGAAGTGGAAAGTGAGAACCTTCTGATAGAGTTTAAGCCAGTGAACTGTAAGTACATCACCAGGACTACCTTGATACAACACAATCATTATCATATGCCCTGCATAGATGGTCATAGTTCATCTCGTATAATCACCAGAATAATGGATCATGTCTGTGTTCTAGTCCCTGCCATGTCATGTGGCTCAGTCTTCCAGGTATTAATATCTTTGTCTAGGCCCTACCCAGAAAAGGACTGCAGATTACACCTGGCTGTTGCTGTCATTACAGGTGCCATAATTATAAACTTCTTTGGAGATTGAACAGGGTATCTGCGATCTGTCTTGTTGGTCTGCCATCCAGACTTAAATTCTTTAAGTAGCAGCCTGGAGGGACAAACTGATCAACCTCTATGTCTTTTCCTTGCTCTTTTCCTATCAAAAATGTCAGTTATGATTTAGTTTGTGAGTTTATTTCTTTTCAATGCATGCTTTAAAAACTGCGACTGTCTATATGTAATTTCTGTCATCAATTAACAGTCATAACGTAAAACTTAACAGCTGAACTTTAAAGACAATTTTATATATGGCATATCATATAGAGACTCACCTGCGGGTCACATTTACACAGCCTGGAAACCAAGGCAGTCTTGCTTCTTCTTCCTTCTTGTGTTCGCTTTCAGATTTACAGACAGGGTCATGGGATAGGACTGTTTTTATGAGTCAGTCTCATACAACTTTGTGTGCAGTGTGATTCCTGGGCCAGTATTCCTTTGGAATACCAGGGACAGTGCAGGACATGTTCTGTAGTCTGCACACACAGTCCTGGGAAGCTAACAGGTGCAGTCCTGATAATGCTGATGCCACCATATCACCCACCAAGTTCGTTTGTTCTATAAAATATAAGCCTAGCTTTATATGGTCAGTAGGCCTGATGATGATGGAAAAAGGTCCTTTACTTTACTTACTAGTTTCTCAGGGTAGAGTTGAAGAGGAAGACTATAACAATGCATTCCTTTCTAATGACATTTTTCAAACTAACAGTAAACATCCACAAGACCCCACCAGCAGACTCAACAGAAAGCACCATACAACAATTTTCCGTCTACGAACAGGACACTGCAGGCTCAACTACCACATGCATGAAATAAAGATTGTACAGTCCCCCCAGTGTGCTTGTCAAACAGGACCCCAAACACCTCAGCAAATTCTGCAGACCTGCCCACTCTGCAACTTCGAAAAGACAGCTGGCCTCAAGAGCAAAGTGTGCAGAGCAAGCTATGGTGAACCATGAAAGACCTGCTACTGACATGCGAGTTCATAGAGGCAACCAACCTGATGGTCTGATCTGAGCATACGAAACCGAACGCAAAGAAGAAGAAGAAGAAGAAGATAATGACATATTGCAAAAGGTCATTTACAAATATTTACATGGGCTTAAGTAGACTAAATAAAAAAATAACAAAAACAAAACCAAGTGCAGTAAAACAATACACTCAGGTATTTATATTGCTTACCTGCTGCATGCGTGACAAAATACTAACACTAGAACCCGTGGAGCTTGACTCCAAAGGTATGTACAACCTGTCCCCATTACTACTCTCACTGTAGCTGCTGGACGTGATGAAAATGTCCAGGTTCGGACCCACTCCAGTGAATGAATCTCTATAAGTGTTCTCATAAAGATTGTTTGGTTCTGTGTACTCACTGCCATCATTCATAGAGCCAATCTGGCAGAAAATAAAAGGAGTGTATTTGTTATTTCATTACCTGCTTCTCAATTTTACAGCCATTTGAAGGTGACAGGTTCGATTCCCGGCACAGTAACTATAGCTTTCGATTTTTATGTTCTCTAGCGTGTCCTTCTATCTTTCTACTTCTTTCTGTGAGTGCCGATCAATACATTGTCTGTTTGTTTAATACATGGCTGGGAAGTCAATGAAATAGCGGACAGATTGGCCAGAAGCGGCAGTGACAAGGTACAACCAAATAGCGACTTAACCCACCAAGAGACGAAAACATTAATACAATCTAGTATCCAAGAAAGGTGGCTGGATACACACACCAGATTCTCTCCCCAAGACTCGCTTCATTTCCTTTCTAGAGAGGGACAGTGTATTATATTCAGACTTCTTCTTCTTTGCGTTCACCGGCTGTAAACTCCGATGGAAAGTTCTGATTGTTCGTCCACTTCTGGACTGGAGTCTTGTTCCAGAATCTGAGTATTGCGTGTGCATCCATTTGACAGATCTGACAAATGTGTATGCAGACTGTTGGTTCCTTGCCTTTCAGGCAGATGCACTCCGACTTCAAAGGAAGCTCCCAATTAGTCGACTCTTACGACATGCGTTTAGGTAGGCAGTGGGTCTATTCTTGTTTTCCCTATAATAGGGCCGCGGAACCCACAGTGGGAATATTCAGACTAAGGATTGGGTACAACAGACTTTGTCAACATATGTTAAAATTTTTCAGTGTAGGAAACACGGAGACGTGTCACTGCAGCTTGGCAACTGAAAATGCTGAGCATGTGCTCCAACACTGACAACTGTATACTGACAGCAGAGACGCAATCTGGCCTGTTCCAACCACAATAAAGACAAAACTGTATGGTACACGAGAGGATATGGATTGCACGATAGCTTTCACAAAGGTTACCGTTCTCCTGTTATGAGTTTTCTGACAGAAGGATCGAAGAAGAAGAAGAAGAAGACATATATAATACTGTCAATTTAAGACATGCTATAGAAAATGTTAGGTTCTGCCAGATCTAGGGTAGCCTAGTGGCATTGTGGTTTGATGCTCACCTGTCGCCCCAAGTGTCTTGGGTTTTAATCCACATAGTGTCAGATACTTCAAGGAGCAACAGGTTGAGAAGTATGAATGCTAGAGTCTCAGGCAGGAGGCCTGGATTTGAATCTTTGGTGAAGTAATTAAAGTTTTTATTTTTCTGCCGCAGGCAACAAATAAACACTCTAAACTGCATAGTACATGGCAAGTGTACTAGCCGTGTGACCTCAATCCTCAAGACCCCCATCTTTCCTATACTGTCCTAAAAATTGGTACTATTCGCAGCATTATCCTTAACCAGTATGTCCTTTACAGAACTTCACTCTCGTCACTGGACACTTGAAAGTCTCTCTTTTTCTTTCCAATTCTCCAGCCCTATGTGCTTTCCTAGCTAGTGCATCTTCAGTATCTTATATCCACCTTCATGAAGTTTGGCGTCTGCTTCTTCTTCTCTCTCTTTTTTTTTTAATCGTCTTTCTGTTACGAGGTCCGTAAGCCCAGTGTCGTTGCCCGTGCTTTGTTTTCCAGAAACGGTATCCTTTATCATCTTTCTCTACAGGCTTCCTTGATGTTTAACATGGCCAACAAATACCTCAGCTTTCACAACAGGATGCTGTTTATGAGCCAGTCCTCCTCAATGTTCAGATCATGTAGGATGACAGTGTGATTCAAGGCAGTAAAGACAGTGATTTGTTTCTTCCACTTCATCAATCTTCTTCCACTTTATCATTCTTCTTCAACTTCATCATTCTTCTTGCACTTCCTCATTCTTCTTCCACTTCATCATTCTTCTTCCACTTCATCATTCTTCTTCCACTTCATCATTATTCTTCTTCCACTTCCTCATTCTTCTTGCACTTCATCATTCTTCTTCTACTTCCTCATTCTTCTTCCACTTCATCATTCTTCTTGCACTTCCTCATTCTTCTTCCACTTCAACATTCTTCTTCCACTTCATCATTCTTCTTCCACTTCTTCATTCTTCTTCCACTTCATCATTCTTCTTGCACTTCATCATTCTTCTTGCACTTCATCATTCTTCTTGCACTTCATCATTCTTCTTGCACTTCTTCATTCTTCTTCCACTTCATCATTCTTCTTCCACTTCATCATTCTTCTTGCACTTCATCATTCTTCTTCCACTTCATCATTCTTCTTCTTCCACTTCATCATTCTTCTTCCACTTCTTCATTCTTCTTCCACTTCATCATTCTTCTTGCACTTCATCATTCTTCTTCCACTTCATCATTCTTCTTCCACTTCATCATTCTTCTTCCACTTCATCTTCTTCCACTTCTTCATTCTTCTTCCATCTTCTTCTTCTTCATTCTTCTTCTTCCACTTCATCATTCTTCTTGCACTTCTTCATTCTTCTTCCACTTCATCATTCTTCTTGCACTTCTTCATTCTTCTTCCACTTCATCATTCTTCTTGCACTTCTTCATTCTTCTTCCACTTCATCATTCTTCTTGCACTTCATCATTCTTCTTCCACTTCATCATTCTTCTTGCACTTCATCATTCTTCTTCCACTTCATCATTCTTCTTCCACTTCATCATTCTTCTTCCACTTCATCATTCTTCTTCCACTTCATCATTCTTCTTGCACTTCATCATTCTTTCCACTTCATCATTCTTCTTGCACTTCACCTCATCATTCTTCTTCTTCACTTCATCATTCTTCTTGCACCTCTTCATCTCTTCTTCTTCCCTTCATCATTCTTCATTCTTCTTCCACTTCTTTGCACTCATCATTCTTCTTCTTCCACTTCATCATTCTTCTTCCACTTCATCATTCTTCTTCTTCCACTTCATCATTCTTCTTCCACTTCATCATTCTTCTTGCACTTCATCATTCTTCTTCTTCCACTTCATCATTCTTCTTCCACTTCATCATTCTTCCACTTCCACTTCATCATCTTCTTCTTCCACTTCATCATCATTCTTCTTCCACTTTCATCATTCTTCTTGCACTTCATCATTCTTCTTCCCACTTCATCATTCTTCTTCCACTTCATCATTCTTCTTCCACTTCATCATCATTCTTCTTGCCCACTTCATCATTCTTCTTCCACTTCATCATTCTTCTTCTTCACTTCATCATTCTTCTTCCACTTCATCATTCTTCTTCCCTTCCACTTCATCATTCTTCTTCCACTTCATCATCTCTTCTTCCACTTCATCATTCTTCTTCCACTTCATCATCATCATTCTTCTTCACTTCATCATTCTTCTTCTTCATCATTCTTCTTCATCACTTCCACTCATCATTCTTCTTCCACTTCATCATTCTTCTTGCACTTCATCATTCTTCTTCCACTTCTTCATCATCTTCTTCCCACTTCATCATTCTTCTCATTCATCATCTTCTTCCACTTCATCATTCTTCTTCCACTTCATCATTCTTTCTTCCACTTCATCATTCATTCTTCTTGCCTTCACTTCATTCATTCTTCTTCCACTTCATCTTCTTCTTCATCATCTTCTTCCACTTCATCATTCTTCTTCCACTTCATCATTCTTCTTGCACTTCCTCATCATCTTCTTCCACTTCATCATCATCTTCTTCCACTTCATCATCATCTTTCTTCCACTTCATCATTCTTCTTCCACTTCACTTCATCATTCTCATCTTCCCACTTCATCATTCTTCTTGCACTTCATCACTTCATCATCTTCTTCTTCCACTTCATCATTCTTCTTCCACTTCATCATTCTTCTTGCACTTCATCATTCTTCTTCCACTTCATTCTTCTTCCACCTCTTCATCATTCTTCTTCCACTTCATCATTCTTCTTCTTCATCATCTTCACTTCACTTCATCATTCTTCTTGCACTTCATCATTCTTCTTCCACTTCATCATTCTTCTTCCACTTCATCATTCTTCTTGCACTTCATCATTCTTCTTCCACTTCATCATTCTTCTTCCACTTCATCATTCTTCTTCTTCCACTTCATCATTCTTCTTCTTCCACTTCATCATTCTTCTTCTTCCACTTCATCATTCTTCTTCTTCCACTTCATCATTCTTCTTCTTCCACTTCATCATTCTTCTTCCACTTCATCATTCTTCTTCTTCCACTTCATCATTCTTCTTCTTCCACTTCATCATTCTTCTTCCACTTCATCATTCTTCTTCCACTTCATCATTCTTCTTCTTCCACTTCATCATTCTTCTTCCACTTCATCATTCTTCTTCCACTTCATCATTTCTTCTTCCACTTCATCATTCTTCTTCTTCCACTTCATCATTCTTCTTGCACTTCATCATTCTTCTTCCACTTCATCATTCTTCTTCCACTTCATCATTCTTCTTCCACTTCATCATTCTTCTTCCACTTCATCATTCTTCTTCCACTTCATCATTCTTCTTGCACTTCATCATTCTTCTTCCACTTCATCATTCTTCTTGCACTTCATCATTCTTCTTCCACTTCATCATTCTTCTTCCACTTCATCATTCTTCACTTCATCTTCTTCACTTCATCATTCTTCTTCCACTTCATCACATCATCTTCTTCCACTTCATCATTCTTCTTCCACTTCATCATTCTTCTTCCACTTCATCATTCTTCTTCCACTTCATCATTCTTCTTCCACTTCATCATTCTTCTTGCACTTCATCATTCTTCTTCCACTTCATCATTCTTCTTCCACTTCATCATTCTTCTTGCACTTCTTCATTCTTCTTCCACTTCATCATTCTTCTTCCACTTCATCATTCTTCTTCCACTTCATCATTCTTCTTCCACTTCATCATTCTTCTTCCACTTCATCATTCTTCTTCCACTTCAACATTCTTCTTGCACTTCTTCATTCTTCTTGCACTTCTTCATTCTTCTTCCACTCACAGATGTAAGAGAAGAAAATAATCAAATGCGGTATAGTATAACATATACCCCAGGTACAACATACTCCCTAAGTACAACACACGCACATTGTATGACACACTCCCTAGTATGAAATACTTTCCAAGTACACAGCACCTCCCCCAATACAACACACTTCCCAAGTACAACACACTGGTCAAGTACAACACACTGGCCAGGTACAACAAACTCTCCAAGTACAATACACTCCCCAAATACAACACATTCCCCTTGTTCAACACATTTCCTAAATGCAACACACTTCCCAAATTCAACACATTCCCCAAGTTCAAAACACTGCCCAAGTACAATGCACCCCCCCCCCCTAAGTACAAAACACTCCCCAAGTACAAAACACTCCCTATGTACAATTAATAAGTGGGGGGGGGTGGGGGGGGGAGACAGAAAGATACTGAACGGTACAAAACAATGATACCACAAGAACATGTCTGTCTATATAAACAAACAATTTTGCTAGTCTGTCTGTTCTCACCTGTGTAGTCCTGATGTGGTAGGGAAAATTCTCATTGGCCTTGTGTGGCAGTGTCAGGATCTTCAGGAGAAATCAAAAGACAGACAAATTAGTAAAGTCACAGGTATATTATAAGTTACAGGCATGAAATGGAATGTCCTAGATGTGATTGAATCTTCCCAGAATGCACTGAAATTAAGAGAAGTGATGGGTTACACTCAAACTGACTGTCGAGGCCTAGGGCACGGGAAAGTCAGTTGGTGGTCTAAAGCCACAGCCAAAGAGCACCGAGACATGGTGATATAGCAGATTAGGGACACCGAAAATGAGGTTCGGGTCCAGAAAGCCACGCAACAGTCGCAGCAAGGCCAGTGAATTGGCCTAGAGAGCGCCTTGCCAAGAGTACTCACATGGGGTGAGATCTGGCGAATGGCCCCGCTGCGACTGAGCTTTATCGTATGATCTGCCTACGATGTATTACCGTCCAGTGTTTACATGGTAAAGTGGAGTGCGACTAATGACCCAACATGCCCACTATGTAGAGCTAAGCAGACGCTCAAGCATGTACTGTCTGCGTGCAGAAAAGCCCTAGGTCAGGGCAGGTACACTTGGCGCCACAACAAGGTGCTGAAAGAGTTAGCGGCTGTTGTGGACCAAGCTAGGATGAGGGCCAATGCGAGGGCCAGTCCTACCGTCATCCCCGTGCACTTCCTCAAGGCTGAGCAAATTTATAAAGGTAAATTCAACAAGGTCGCATACGCTCCATCGATGCTTGACTGTGCGAGGGACTGGCTAGTGGTGGTTAATCTGCCTGGTCACGAAAAGTATCCAGAGTTGATCCGAAAGACCGGCCTGCGACCCGACATAGTCCTACACTCAACGGAGAAACGTCAGCTCATCCTGATCAAGCTGACCGTGCCGTATGAGTCGCGAATGAATGAAAGCCACATGTACAAGCTCGAGAAGTACAGTGACTTAGCGGCTAGTCTGAGGAGAGACAAAGCGTACACAGTAAGAATCTTTGCCGTCGAGGTAGGCGCAAGAGGTCTTGTTTCCACTTCAATATACAATGTGATAAAACAACTAGGCCTGCGAGGAAATGAGCACAAACGAACACTAAAACAACTGGGCGAGGCTACTGAGAGGGCCTCGAGCTGGCTCTGGACACAACGGAACGTCGTGGTGGATGGGCCTCGGTGACCTGGTCCAGGTGTCTAGTGGAAAAGGAAATCTTATTTCTTAAAGTTCATCGTGTCTGAATTTTCTGCCAGTGTCCCTTTGCCATCTGCTAACAAAGTCTAACATATGTCCGATAAACCAACCGTAAGTTTGCCACTTGGTCGTCCAGGTAAGCTGACTGCTCTAATTATGCTACAGCAACGACTATGTAAATACAGTTCCTATCTCACAGTACCTTTTGCAAAGTCACCAATTTCATCTTGTTCCTGTCCAAGAACATCCGGTAATACGTGCAGCAGGAGAAGATCAACCCCGAACTTCATGAACTCTGGTGGGCCCACTCTCTGGAAATGTATAGGAGCTAGTGGGCCGTAACATTTGTCTTCTACTGATGACTGGTAGACTCCTGCTGTACATGCTCCCTTGTGGATTTTCTTCTTATACTGGGATTCAAGTCAGGGCAGGAACTAACATGCTTGTATATAAATCTCTATCAAGAAAGGGATTTTTGTTTTCTCTGACATAAGATTTCTGGAGGACTTAGTCTAAAATGGGCAAAGGAGATATTTTGAGAAGTAAAGGCTGTCTTGTAGAGTGACACAGCATAAAACAAAAGTAATGAGTGGCGACTGTTAGCCTAATCTTCCTGCCTGTGATAAAACCTTTTTGTTAGGATGAAAAGGCTGATGAATATCATGAATGATGATAATAAAAGCTATCATGAATGACAATAATGAAAGTTATCTTGAATGACAATAACGAAAGCTATCATGAATGACAATAATGAAAGTTATCTTGAATGACAATAATGAAAGATATCATGAATGACAATAATGAAAGCTATCATGAATGACAATAATGAAAGTTATCTTGAATGACAATAATGAAAGATATCATGAATGGCAATAATGAAAACTATCATGAATAATGATAATAAAAACTATCATGAATGACTAAAATGAAAACTATCATGAATGACAATAATAAAAACTATCATGAATGACTATAATGAAAACTATCATGAATGATGATAATGAAAACTATCATGAATGGTGATAATGAAAGCTATCATGAATTATGATAATGAAATCTATCATAAATGATGACAATGAAAACTATCCTGAATGATGATAATGAAAAAGACCATGAAAGACAGAGATATCAAATAATGCAGCAATTTAAATAATGAGAAGCGAAACAATACATTGCACAATTTATTGATAGGCATATTTCGCTGTATCTCATCACGTGCGTTACTACAGAGTTACAATAACATAAAATGAAGCACAAAACTGAATTAATAAAACTGAAATGCGAATAGTTTCTTTCGACACTTAGTGTGTGTTCTTTGGCTGCCTGAAGCTCACCGTAGTGACGTGACTTACCAGGGTAACTTCAAATTTACAATAAATTCTGTCTGCGTACAAAGGAGGGGGTTGTTGATTTTAATTGTTAATGGCGAAATATGCCTGGCAATAAATTGTGCAATGTATTGTTTGTGTCCGCATTATTTAAATTCATTACAGGGAAACATTGTTCTAAATGCAGTACTTAATAACCTGCACAGAAATGGCCATCATTAAGCTAAACAAGTTTCAAGAGCCCAGGAAAAAACAAAAAAAGCAACAACAACTTACCAAGAAAACCACATGAGCCAGGAATGCAATAAACTGCTGCACCCCATTGACGGTTTTCTCTCGGGTCCACTTGGCCATGGCAAACATGGCAATGAGGACCACAAACGGGCTGGCCCAAGAACCTGAACACAACAGTTAACAGATGCGTTCATCATCGTCATCATTAAGTGCCTATATGACTCCACTACAAGGGAAAATAAACTGCATAACTTCTTCTTCTTCTTCTTCTCTTCCACCTTGTACCTCAGCGAAGTGTCGGGGGGAGATGTAATGTTCGTTGGTGAGCTCTGTCAAGAGCACTATTAAGACTGATGTTCATTTCTGTAACGCTGTTTTTAATGCCATCACTCCATATTTTCCAAGGTCTTTCGCTCGCTCTATACCCGTTGTAAAATTTCAGTGCGGCTCGCTATGGTAGATAGTACCATGGCACTCTTGTTAGGTGTCCAAACTACTTCATTTGTTGTTCTTTGATGACCTGTAAGACTGGCTTTTTTCCTAGCATAGCATTCATCTGATTTCGTATTCTGTCTTTCCTTGAAACTCCTGCAGCTCTTCTAAGGCATTTCATCTCTGTTGTCACAATTTACATTCATTAAAGGAACTGCATAACTAACAGCTAAAAATATTTATGAAAAAAAAGAAGAGGAAGACAATGAGAAGAGATGCCTTAACAATCCGTCAACACAGTATAAACAAACAAAAAAACAAACACCAGTGCATGCTAGACTAAACATTTCTGTTGGAGATTAAATTATATGTAGAGACATGCTCACCTATGTCAGTTGACATGTCACTGATATGATAATGAGCACCAAATTCGTTGGGCTGGTCATGTGGCACGCTTGCCAGATCACAGGCTCCCAAAAAAAAGATCTTCTTTGGTGAGCTGCAAAATGGGAAACGTTCCCAAGGCGAGCAAAAAAAAAACGCTTTAAGGACACCTTAAAGTTTTCACTCAAAGCATTTGGGGTGAATTACACCAATTGGGAGGCTGCCTCTCAAGACCGAAACGCAAGGTGTGCAACTCTACAAAGCAAACAGAACAGCAAGACTGATTAAAAAAAGGATGGCAGAAAGGCGACTGCAGGAGATCTCCTCCCTGGCACAACGCTCATTCCCTGTCCTCACTGTCCAAGAACTTTTCGGGCCCGCATCGGCCTCATCGGTCATCTTTGTTCTCATACTTGATGAAAAAGAGTGGTCATCATCATCATCTTGATGGACAACACACACACACACAATATGATGACAATATGATTTCTTGTTCTTGTTCTTGTTCTTCTCCTTCTTTCTTCTCCTTCTTCTTCTTCTTCTTCTTCTTTTTCTTCTTTTTCTTCTTCTTCTTCTTCTTCTTCTTCTTCTTCTTCTTCTTCTTCTTCTTCTTCTTCTTCTTCTTCTTCTTCTTCTCATCAATCTCTCTTTCTTCTTCTTCTTCTTCTTCTTCTTCTTCTTCTTCTTCTTGTAGAAGGGCCAACTCTTCTTCTTCACAGCCAAAATACCCAGATTTTGTAGGGAACTAACAGGATGCTGTTTTATGAGGTGTAGAATGTGTAGAAGGAACTAGACCACTAAAACTCACCAGATGCTCAATATCATACAGGATGTTAGTGTTTTTCTCACATAACTAGACCACTAAAACTCACCAGATGGTGTAGAATGTGTAGAAGGAACTAGACCACTAAAACTCACCAGATGGTGTAGAATGTGTAGAAGGCAACATAGAACAGGGTTTTCTTGGAGTAGTGTTTTAACGTGAACACAGCAGCCTTTGTAAACCACAGCCAGCCAATCAGGATCACTGTTATCATCCCGTAACCGGGGGGACTCTCGTAGTAGTACAGCACCAAGCCTGGGTCAAACAACTGCCAGACAAAGGAAATAGTAATATTATTGTTTCTTCAATCCTAGGAAGGAAGCATTAAGTTTAATGTTAATTGATAGATAGCTGGGTAATATGCTTTTTCATTGGCAACTCTTTGAGTCCCAAGGAACACATCATACGTTCATAGGTTATTGCCTAGAAGCCCAATGAACGCATGATGCGCCGATTTTAGTCTCTTTTGACTACCCCTTGGGCCTGTGTTGCTAAACCCTCTGGGACTCAAAGAGTTAAATAGGTAAATGCTGTTCTAACAATTAGCTCATTCAGTTGCAGACAACGCAAGCAATTACTGTCTCAATAATAAAATAAAAGTTCAAACCTTAAGGCGTACTGGGCATATAGGGCTAGACCTATATTTAATAGACCAAACTTGGGGGTGATGTGGTCAGCATCACGCCGGCCACCTTTGCTTTCCAGGACTGTACCTGGTACCCACTCAAGACTGGGTCGACTTGTCAATAAGAAAGAGTTAAATACAATCAAATGCACTAGGTTTAAGTAGTGGATATATAAAACTGAAGGTATTTAAGTGCTGCATAAGAAAGAATTGGTTGTTTAAAAATAACTTCTGGCTAAGAGACTTAACCCTATCAATACTGAGCAAAGAACCATGTATGGATGCTCCGTCTTTTGTTCATCAATATCTTCATCATCATCAACTTCTACTTTTGCCTGTAAACGTCGTGGGGACATTTGTGATCCATTGACAGGCAGCAAATAGCTATTGTCCTTCCTTGACGATGTAAAAGGTTTTCAATGTCATCAGTCCACTTCTACTAGGTCAACCTCTTGGTTTCAAATCAGATCTTTTTATTTGTTATGTTGCATATTCACGTAATGTGCTGATGAAAGCTTTCTAGCTGCAACATTTATTTATCATTTGTGTTTGTGATAATGAGGAGCTGACCGGATCTGCCTTTTTATTTGGTGTAGTATCTTTTCATCAGTTTAGGTTGGTTGAATTAAGGAACCTGGGTCATTTACACACACACACACAAATCTAACAAGATATGTATTGAAACTCTGAACCTTAACCTTTGGGCAGGTACTATTGAGAATGAGAGAATGAAAACTGACAAAACTGAGTAATTACTTACGGCTCCCTCCCAGATAAACATGACAACCATGGCTACAATGTACAAGTTGATAAATACTGTAATCTTGATGATTGCTTTTGTGGTGAGGCGGACTCGAACCACTGTGTAACCTTTGGCTAGTAGAATCAACATCAGGATGAACACAATATTGCTGCAAGTCTGTAGGATGCGACCTGGTTCAGGAGAAAGTAATCAATAATTTATCAACACTGGCTGCTGTCCGGAGCAGAATAAAGAAGAACAAATAAAACAATTACTAGTACAGGAAGGGAATGAGAATGAAGGAAGAAATTATTGCAGAAAAGATGAGAGCTGAGTGTCTGAGAAGAAACCCACTAAACACAAATGTTGACAACAATGGTCCTGAAATCCCAATCCTTTAATTATGGAGGACTTTTCCTAACACGAGCGAGTCTTGCTAGGGCTGAGATTCTCAATGCTCTCTAGGAGGCAGGATGAGAAGATGATTCAGGAGATGACGCTGAATCAGGAACACTCAAAAGACTACAAGAACTTCAGAACACTATACAGGTAGCCAAAGAAGAATAGTAAACAAACACAGAACTGGCACTATCAGTCGCACCACGCCGAGAAATATGCTGAAGATAGGATCCGAGCACTTATGTACTTGTCTGGTGTGCAGTGAGGATAATCTGTCTATTAACTAACTAACCAACTTGCCATTGCCATGGGCTGCAAGTCGCATGCCTCCACATGGTGCAGTTTAACACTACCATCTGTAAAGACGAAAGGTGCCAATCAATCAAATTTAATCATTTATTAATGGGTACACACATAGAATGGAAGACTAACATTGTATCACAGATCCACTAATGCAACATTTAAAATGAACTAACTAGACAAAGCCTCATTTGTTCTTTTCTTTTTCACTTTTTCTTAAAAGGATAGTAGGCACATGAGGTTGTGGTTTACAGCTAGGCTGCAATATCTGTGTCCTATCAGCTTTACAAATTTGGTATCAGCAAGAGAAAGCCTCTCTTCTTCTTCTTCTTCTTCTTCGTCTTCTTCTTCTTCTTTTTCTTCGTCTTCTTCGTCTTTTTCTTCTTTTTCGTCTTCTTCTTCTTCTTCTTCTTCTTCTTCTTCTTCTTCTAGTCATGTTCTGCCTTTCAGTGTCAGGTTTTGGAGAGGCACTGGGTGACAGCCTTGGTATGTGCTACGTAGATACTGGTATTTACGGCCCTGACTATTCAATCTATCCATCACTTGAGTGGTCGACCTCTGGGTCTGCTTCCATTAAGTCTAAAAGACAGGGTTCTCTGCAGTGCACTGTCTGGTGGTAGTCCTGACACATGGCCAAACCATTTGATCTGTTGTCAGCTGATGTATTAATACTGCTTCTGTCCCAACTGCTTTCCTGATTTGTCATTTATGATCCCATCCCTTCTAGTTATATAATTTAGGATTCACCACAGACATTTCATTTCTGTTATTTTTAGTTTATTTTTTTCTGTTGTTTTTAATGTCCACATTTGGCATCGGTAACACAATCTTGGTAAAAAAAAAATAATACTGTTTTGTATTTGTATTGTATTTTTGTTTGCTCTTTGTGTTCTTGTGGTCAATTGTTACAAGTTTGTTGGGCAACATTGGTGACATTTGTCCAGTGATTTGATTTGCTTTCTTACATCTGTTACAATGAATGACCAGATGATAATGATGATAATGATGACAATGCCGATTTTAATTATAACAATGATGTTAATAAAGAGATGAAAGTGACACTGATGTTGATGATGATGATGATCATGTGGATGGAGAGCATGACTGAGCTGGCTGAGACTAGATGAAACCACCGACCTGTGACCTCCAGAGGCCTGACCTCCCAGCCTGTGTTGCCATAGTAACCCCAGGCAGCCACCATGAGCAGCAGGTGAAGGGTCCAGATGGTTAGAGCACACAGGTACATCTTATAGGTGGTGTGCAGCAGCTTCCGCTGTACCAGAATTGCTGCAACAGCAATCAGGAGTCACGTATGGGAAAAAGTGTGAGCCTCAGATTATCACAGTGAATCACTCAGACAATGAAGCTTGGCTGCAACAGATTTCCAACACTTTTGTATCGCTTTTGTGTCACTGTTCTGTCATGTGTGTGTTTCTCTTGTATCCCTCTTATGTCACTCTTGTTTCCCTCTTGTGTCACTCTTGTGTCCCTCTTGTGTCACTCTTGTGTCCCTCTTGTGTCACTCTTGTGTCCCTCTTGTATTCCTCTTGTGTCACTCTTGTGTCCCTCTTGTGTCACTCGTGTGTCACTCTTGTGTCCCTCTTGTGTCACTCTTGTGTCCCTCTTGTGTCACTCGTGTGTCACTCGTGTGTCCCTCTTGCGTCACTCTTGTGTCCCTCTTGTGTCACTCTTGTGTCACTCTTGTGTCCCTCTTGTGTCACTCTTGTGTCACTCTTGTGTCCCTCTCGTGTCACCCGTGTGTCACTCTTGTGTCACTTGTGTGTCCCTCTTGCGTCACTCTTGTGTCACTCTTGTGTCCCTCTTGTGTCACTCTTGTGACACTCCTGTGTCCCTCTTGTGTCCCTCTTGTGTCACTTGCTGCAGGATATGGAGCATTTCGCATTCACCAGCTGTTAACTCTGGGGGAAAGTTCTGGTTGTTCATCCATTTCTGGACTGCAGTCCTGTTCCAGAACCTGAGTGTTGCGTGGGCATTCATTTTACAGTTCTGATTCATTTGTTTGCAGACTGTTGGTTCCTTGCCTCTCAGGCAGATGCACTTCGACTTTAAAGGAAGCTTCCAATTAGTTGATTCTTATGACATGCTTTTGGGTAGGCAGTGGGTCTATTCTTGTTTTCCCTATAACAGGGCCCGGAACCCACACGGGGAATATGCCTGGTATGCTGTGATGTTTATTCTTAAATCAGTATCAGTGTACTGTGGATCTGGCCTAAGGGAGCCACATTGCAAGAGAAGCTATGGGGGACCACTGGCGACCTTAAACGCACAATCCTTTTTTGTGACCCAGACGGGACACAATGTTTAGCATGACTGATGTCGAATGCAGAAAAAGAAAAAGAAGAAGAAGAAGAAGTATCAGTGTTAGGCTTCTCCCTCGCGCCTCTCTCTCCCAACTTCTCATAGCCAATAAGAGGACACAAACACCGACCCAACACTCATGTCCAACCTAACTGATGTCGAATGCAGAAGAAGAAAAAGAAGAAGAAGAAGAAGTATCAGTGTTAGGCTTCTCCCTCGCGCCTCTCTCTCCTAACTTCCCACAGCCAATAAGAGGACACAAACACAGACCCAACACTCATGTCCAACCTAACTGATGTCGAATGCAGAAGAAGAAAAAGAAGAAGAAGAAGAAGCATCAGTGTTTAGGCTTCTCCCTCGCGCCTCTCTCTCCCAACTTCCCACAGCCAATAAGAGGACACAAACACAGACCCAACACTCATGTCCAACCTAACTGATGTCGAATGCAGAAGAAGAAAAAGAAGAAGAAGAAGAAGCATCAGTGTTAGGCTTCTCCCTCGCGCCTCTCTCTCCCAACTTCCCACAGCCAATAAGAGGACACAAACACAGACCCAACACTCATGTCCAACCTAACTGATGTCGAATGCAGAAGAAGAAAAAGAAGAAGAAGAAGAAGCATCAGTGTTAGGCTTCTCCCTCGCCCCTCTCTCTCCCAACTTCCCACAGCCAATAAGAGGACACAAACACAGACCCAACACTCATGTCCATCCTACCTGAGCAGACTACTGCCAACAGCAGAAGTATGATGTACAGAATAAAGAACACAATGTCGATGACAAGAATATCTGGGGAAGATGAAGATAACAGGTTATATACAAGTCACAATATATCAACTTATATTTTTGATGTTGCTATTTTTTTCCTCACCCGTTTCTCATTCTCTCTATCATCCTTTCTCTTCTTCTTTCTCATTCAGTCTACAATCCTCTCTTATTTTCTGTATCATTCACTCTCTCTTTCAGTCTCGTCTTCTGTATCATTCTCTCTGTTGTTTTACTCTTTCATCCCACTTCTTATTTTCTCAATCTTTCTCTCATTTTCTCTGTCTTCCTTTCTCTTATTTTCTTCATCATCCTTCTTCATCATTTCTCTGTCATCTCTCTCTTTCTCTCTGCCATCATTTTCTTATTCTCTTTAACAGCCCTTATCTTACTCTCTCTATCATCTCTGTTTTTCTCTCTATTATCCTTGCTCGTAAGCTCTTAATCATCCTTTCCCCTAATCTCTTTTTCAGTTTCTTTCTTTCATTATATCATCCTTTTTTCTCTCTATCATCTATCTCAGTGTCTCTGCATCATCTCTCTTTCTCTTTCATCCTGTCTCAAATTATTTCTATCCTCATTTTTCTGATTCTCTATATCATTTCTCTCATAATTTTTATCCTTTTTTTTTTCTTATTCTCTTTATCTCTCAACATAATTAACTCTTAATTACCTGACTAAATTAATATTAAACATTCCTAAATTAATATTTACAGTGTCAAACCTTTTTCAAAAAAATATAAATTAATGTAAACATGAATTAGTCAATGAGGTGCACAATAAAGGTTTTCTGCAATAGATCTCTAACACATTCTGTCTCTTGTCTTGTTGATACACTCTCTCAGATTGCTGTTTGTCCATCTCTTGATGTGATCCTTCCACTTGTTTTGTTGTCTACCTCTTGCTCTCTTGTACTCACTTTCCCTCTAGTATGGGTTTTAAAAGAGTGTTACGTCTCATAATGTGACCAACATTTTATCAGTTGCTTCTTTTTTTCTGTAACTGATTGTTTTCATTTCCATGAAATGCTAGCTATTCTTATGTATATCCACATTTTCAAAGAAAGGGTCAGTTTGATTAATAAATAAATATAAACATAGTTAACCATCCATTTGAAGAAAAAATTAATATAAACATGACTGATTATCCACAAAAAACTAACAAATTAATATAAACACGATGAACTGCCCACTAATTTGACTAAATTAACATAAATTCAACTCAGCAACCACTAACATGTCTAACTGCAGACGAGCAACACTTACAAAATTCATCTGCAGAAAATTCCTTCTGTAGCAGGGTGTCCCCATTGGTCATGTGTAGTTTGTAGTTCAAATACATGCCTTTGTACTGGAATCAAGTCAGCAGCACAGACCAAATATTATTCAATGCAACTAATGAGATTATTATTATTATTATTATTATTATTATGGAGATGCATCTGGACCTTTGAGTAGTTCACCACATTCACCATTGTCCACGAAATCTAGACATCTGATCCACAACCCCAAGATGCAGGGAAGGTTTTGAGGTTTTGAACAACGGATCAACAACGGATTAACCCATAAGTGATCCGTTCTTTTTCTAACTCAAGTACGAGTCCGAAGAAGCTCAGCACGTGCACAGGCTCTGTAGCACCGGAGAAGATCCTAGATTACTTTAGGTAGATTTTTAACTCCAAATTTTGCCCGGGCAGCGTTGTTAGGCTACTCTTTTCTAATTCCAACTGCCAAGGGATTTTTTACGTGTGCAAGAATGCACACAGGTATATGATCTCACTACCCAGAGACCAGAGGAAATTACTAAAAGTCAAAGTCCACGTGAAAAACTCCCAGCTCTTACCAGGGATTGAACCAGGAACCTCTAGCACTCGAGGTGAACAGCATGCCTCGAGACCACGCACCGCCAATTGGGGGAAGATGGGGGCATTTCTCTTCTTCCTCCTCCTCTTCTTTTTCCAAGCCCTTGAGGTTAACCACAGCAGATATCACCTGTCTCCATTAATGTCTGTGACTGGCCGGTGACTCCAAGTGTCTGCAGGTTTGATTGTATTTTATCTCTCCAACATCTATTTGGTCTTGTCATGGTCTACTCCCATTCAGCTTGTTTGTGTCTGATGTTAATCTTGATCTACTAAAACTCCCCGTGTGGGTTCTGGGGCCCTATGAAAGGGAAAACAAGAATAGACCCACTGCCTACCCAAAAGCATATTGTAAGAGTCAGCTAATTTGGAGCTTTCTTCGAAGTTGGATTGCATCTGCCTGAGAGGCAAGGAACCAGTAGTCTGTATATAAATGAGTCAGATCTGTAAAATGGATGCACAGGTTCTGGAACAGGACTACAGTCCAAAAGTGGATGAACAACCAGAACTTTCTGCCAGAGTTTACAGCTGGTGAACGCAATGAAGAAGAAGAAGATCTACAAAAACTAAATATGTACTTCAGTTGCATCATCTGTAAAAATGAAGAAATGGGTGCAGATTTTGCTTGAAAAACAAAAACAGACAGGCTTCAGAAACCGAAAAAAGAAACAATTTGAAGAGCAAATTGGAAACAAAAAAAACAATAAACACACTGTAGCTGGGAAGTGTAAGGAGCACTTACAGTTGAATTTACTGGAGGCCCACATCTGGTGAGAACAATAAACCACCACCTTTCCCTGGCCGTACTGAAATCCAAATCTCCCTTGCAGACATACCAGTCTTGGCCTGTTCGCTTTTCTCTCTTACATCTGAAAAATCATAAAGTTCTGTTATGCATCTTAAAAATTATTCTGAAAAACAAAATTTGAAAAACTGTAAGACCATGCGAAAGCAACATACTTTTGTATTTAGAATGTGGACAACAATGTAGACTACAACAAAAGCACTTACAAACTGTGTAGCATTTAACGGCTCAACACCCATAAATTGCCCACAACTATAAAGCACTTACAACTAAAAATACCCACAACTATAAAGCATTCACAACTTTAAAATAACCACAACTACAAAACACTCACAACTATCAAGTATTCATAAATATAAAATACCCACAACTATCAAGTATTCACAACATTAAAATACCCACAACTATAAAGCATTCACAACTTTAAAACAACCACACATACAAAACACTCACAACTATCAAGTATTCACAACAATAAAATACCCACAACTATAAAGTATTCAGAACTTTAAAAAATAACCACAACTATAAAACACTCATAACTATAAAGTATTCATAAATATAAAATACCCACAACTATAAAGCATTCACAACTATAAAACACCCATAACTATAAACCACTCATAACTATAAAGTGCCAACTAAAAAGCACTCACAACTATAAAGCAATCGCAACTATGAATCTATCATAAATATAAATCCCTCCCAACTATGCTGACAGGTTCAGACCCCAACTATGAATCACTCCACACATAAATCACTCACAATTGTAAGGTACTCACTGAGAAGTTGTATCATCAAGCTTAAACTGGTTTCTTCCTTTCAGAGCATCTACTTTTTCTGTGCAGGTCTGTTGTGTGAAGGTGCAGGAGCGGGTAGTGACAGAAAAATTTAACAGATTAATATTAATGGAGATATATGGGAAATAAGGTGGGAGAGAACGGAGGTGTGTGGGAATAGAAATTTAGGGAAACTGGAGTGTGTGGGAGAGAAGATTTAGGGAAATGGAGGTATGGATGAGTGGTGTTGTGGGGAACTGGTGGTGTGGGAAGTGGTGGTGTGAGGAAGCAGTTGTGTGGGGGAGTGGAGAGGGGGAAATGTTGCTGTAAAGAAGTGTTAGCGGGGGAGGGGTGCTGACAGGAAATGGAGGTGTTGAGAATAAGCAGAAAGGGTAAAAGACAAAACACTATTAAAATCAACTGTATATCCTTTGCAGGACATCTTACCCAACCCAGGATTTGCTGGCCATATCTGGTTTTACTAGGTAATTTTGTGTACAGTAGTTTGCCATTGCATTCTCAATAGCTGACACTCATATCATAGTTAGAACCAAAACAATGCAGTCTGCTAACACACGACCGACTGATGGATAGAATCTGGTTGGTCAGAATTATAACATGGAGATCCTGCATGATCTGAGCATTAAGGAGAATTGGCTCATAAACAGCATCCTGTCTCTAAAGCTGGGGTATTTGGGCCATCATGGTAGCCTGGGGAGAACGGTGATGGAGGGTCAGTTTTCAGAAAATGAGGCAGAGGTAGACTTTCATGAAGGTGAATACAAGACACTGAAGATGTATTAGCTATGAAAGCACACAGGGCTGGAGAATTTACTAGAGAAAGAGACAGACTTTCCGGCATGCTGTAATAAGAGCAACATTCTGTAAAGAACCAGCTGATTGGTGATGATAAGGTCAGAATTATGAAACTGTCTCCATAACCCTCAAGCCACAGATGTTGACCTATAACCTTTGAACTGCTCCTAGTTTCTGGGATTTGTTTCTAGAAGGTTCTGAAATACTTTGTGGTTTAACTTACAGAGAAATTCCTGGCCTTGAACTGTGTTAGACATATGATGCTAGCTCCATGTTTATAGAACAACCGGCACTCAATGGGTGACTGGGTCAAATTTGTGCCAGCCACTTTTACTTCCCAGAACATTTTCTGGTACCTAGATTTAGGCCAGGTGGAGTTGGCATCGAGAACCTACAACAGGTAAATGGAAACAACAAGAGGCAAGGGGGGGGGGGGGGGAGGGGGGTGGGGGAGAGAAGGGGACTGAAGAAGTCAATGACAGGTTAACTCTTTCAGGCCCAAACAAACAACACACCGTGGGTTATAAACAACACACGATGGGTTACAGGCAGTCAGCCTGGCATCCATGAAACTGTTACGCTTAGCAGCATAAAGCAGATATCGGCAAAAGAAGAAGTACTTACACTTGCCTTATGTTCCATATTGTTGTTAATCCTTCATTATTTCACTTCTTTGTCTGTGTCCAAAAAACCCTTTCTCTCAAACATTTACGCTTTTGGATATAATTTAATATTTTTCTAAAACTTTTTTATTTTTGCCAATTTTCACCAAATTCTTAGTCTTGCCATGTTCATTCCAGTATCGAAATTTGAACTATGAATAGCCTAAATGTACATAAATATGTAACTTTGACAATGCCTAGTGTGCAATAAAGATGTCTGTGATAACATAATATTTACAATATCGCTATAGAAATGCTTAATATGCAATAATGTCGTATTGGTAAAAACATAAAACAAGATGGCAAAACAGTCAAAAGACAAACAGCAATGTCATTACCAAATCTCGCTGATAAACTGATGACCATTGTCCAGGAATATCGTAGTAGAATGCAAAACTCTGTACGCCATAACCCTGATTGATTAGAAATTACAATGTGAGAAATGCCACTATCACATTGACAGAAAGCACAAATCTATTCATCATCATCATGTGCCCTGCCAAATGGCATAGGCGCTCATGCGTCTCAACAGATCACAATCCCTGGTTGCCTGGAACAGCTCTCTTGATGATATCCCTCCATGCAATCGTTTCAGCCCATCCAGCATCATCTCTCTTGGTCTGCCTCTACCCCTTTTTCCACTGATCTTTCCAGTTGTCACGATGTTCTCCAATGCCTCTCTTCTCATTATGTCGCCAAAGAACAGTGTTTGTCTCTTTCTCATCATTGCATATAGAGATCTACTTTCATTAGCTTCTTTCAAGCAAATTACTGTTAGTTACTCTGGCCATCCAAGGTAAAAATCTATTAGTAGATAATTTTTAAATTCATTCATTGCCTATAGAGATGGTTTGGTGTTGAGATGAAAGAGAAGTGCCTGGAGATTTGTAGCGAAAGCCAATGGAAAATCTTTAGTGCAAGATAGCCTAGCATACGACATCACAACATCTAGCATAAGAATGGAGGTGGCGGCGGTAGCTGCAGCTCTCCAGTGGCTAGAGAACAAGATGCATCCATATGTCATAATTGTAACAGACTCTGAAAGCATGCTGAGAAAGGTGAAGACAGGGATGTTTCTAGCAGAGTGGCAAGCTTCACTGGGAAGGTCACAGGTAGTGAGCATACTTTGGATCTTTCCTCCAGGGCATGCCAGCGTAGTGGGTAATGAACAGGCAGACAGATTGGCTGGATCTGCACCACTGGGTGGTGAACTGATACATGTGGTCAAGGCCTTTTGGAAACAAGCAAGGGAATCGGTATAGACACAAGATTATTATGGCCTTTAGAGAATGAGGCACTTGGGTGTAACCAGAGGGTCTGGCCGGCTCACTACACTCAGAGGAAAGGCCAGATGGATATATAACTAGATTGTGACCGGTACCATCAGTATTGGAACTCTGCGCTGGCTGCTGAAGATGAGGACGGAGCATGCATGGGAATACCCTGAGTGCTGTGATGTCAATTCTTGACTCAACTCAACTCAACTGGCCTTATCGTGGCATCATATGTCACACACGGCTTGCAGTATAATTCTTTGTTCTATTCTATCCTTGCGATCATGTCAATATTAGGGATGGAATTCAGTCCAGCACCTTTGGCTTCTCTCATCAACGTTCACATCAGGGTTTCTCTTGAGACGTCGTCGCTTCCTCAATCCATCTTTTTCCCTGGTCTTCAGACGTTTAGCGGCCTTAAATGTTACAGTTGTTCTTGGGTAATTTGTGTTGCTGATTCAAAAAATGTAATCACATTTTTTTTTCTGCCAGCTCATTGTTTGAGATAACAGTGATCTTCTTAGTAGAGCAACTGCTTTGTACAAACCTAGCCGGGGGCTATCAGTGACATTTTGACTTTGATTTGTATTCTTATTATATGCAGTTACTGTGCACTTATTTTTTTCCATGTAAAACATCAACAGTCTATTACAACATACAAAAAGGCTTCTTTTTTAGGACTTCCTGGAATCTGATAGGTCCAGACAGCCTTGTTTAAGAGTCCAATAGTAATCTGCCATCATGTGAGCATATGTAGAACAGTTTTTTAGCAGGACTGAAAACGATACTGGAACAAATGTTCTCATAACTTATTTATGTACCTTCATCAGATGTAAATAAGTATGAAATAAACATATCTCACTTTTTTCCTCTGTGATTTATTGTTTGTATGATAGATAAGGAAGGTCCTTGCAAAATTTCTTAAAGATCTGACCATACTTCTTCTTCTTCTTCTTCTTCTTCACTTCCTCTTTTACCGCTGTGGGTGTCGAGGGAGATATAAGGTTCTGTTTCTAGCTATTCTGGCTGCCTCGACCATAGGCACATCGTGCTGTTGTAGAGTTTCTCTGATGTTATCCTTCCATCTTGTTTTTGGTCTACCCCGTGCTCTACGTCCTTCTTCTCTTTCCATGTATGCTTTGTATGGTATGGTGTCACAAGGCATTCTCTCTAAGTGGACAAACCATTTCACTTAGTTATATTAAATCATCAGGAAAAACTTGCATAATTTATGATTTTCCAACTTGTTCCCTCCCCTTAAGTCTCTAGTATTTCTCTACAGTAGTTTTTGTATCTTGGTAAATCTTTACCTTGCTCCTCATTAAAGTCGCCAAAATTCTCAGGAAAGAAATGTGAATGGTTAAGGACCTAATGCAACTGCACCATCAAATGTTTGGTACATGGAAAAGAAATGTAAGTCTGAGTTTCCCATTTCAGTGACTGTTTGGTGATTCTCTGTTCGTCACTTCTCATAATATGTCCAATACAGCGCCATCTTTTCTGCCATATAACTATTGATACTATTGGCTGCCCAGGCCATGTTAGAGCAGTCGATAGGAGACTCGCTTTCCAATCCAGCTACGACTCACTGCAGTCCGCAGCCGGTGTTGGAAACCGGGTGCTTCCCGGGGTTCATATAGCCTTTAGGAAATGGGTACCAGAGTTGACACTCTTGGGTAAATGGAGGAACGTCGCTGTAGCTACAGAGTTACTGAATTACTTACAACAGGGTACTCCAGGTCATAGTTCAAGTTACCGATCTTGCTCAGAAAACAAAAACGTGTTAGAAAAACCCAGTCCTGCAATGAGAGAAATGTGAAATAACATTTAAACACAAGAGGTCCTCATGGGTGTCCTGAGGCGCCAATTAGGTAGAGATGGGGGGTGGGGGGGGGGGGGGGCTTGTCCTGCAACAAGCATGTCATAATGGGCAACTGTTTAGGAATTTCTAAAAATCAGATGTGTTGGACTGAAATGCACAAATTATGCAGCCTAGCTGTAAACTACAACACGGCATACCAAACATCATTATAAGGAGGAACACAGAAGAAGAAGATGAAACATGGGATAGTTGACAGTGAGGTAAAGAAGGAGACAAAACAAGGGATTGTAGACAGTGAGGTAAAGAAGGAGACAAAACAAGGGATTGTAAGACAGTGAGGTAAAGAAGGAGACAAAACAAGGGATTGTAAGACAGTGAGGTAAAGAAGGAGACAAAACAAGGGATTGTAGACAGTGAGGTAAAGAAGGAGACAAAACAAGGGATTGTAGACAGTGAGGTAAAGAAGGAGACAAAACAAGGGATTGTAGACAGTGAGGTAAAGAAGGAGACAAAACAAGGGATTGTAAGACAGTGAGGTAAAGAAGGAGACAAAACAAGGGATTGTAGACAGTGAGGTAAAGAAGGAGACAAAACAAGGGATTGTAAACAGTGAAGTAAAGAAGGAGACAAAACAAGGGATTGTAGACAGTGAGGTAAAGAAGGAGACAAAACAAGGGATTGTAGACAGTGAGGTAAAGAAGGAGACAAAACAAGGGATTGTAAGACAGTGAGGTAAAGAAGGAGACAAAACAAGGGGTAAGATTGTAAGACAGTGAGGTAAAGAAGGAGACAAAACAAGGGATTGTAAGACAGTGAGGTAAAGAAGGAGACAAAACAAGGGATTGTAGACAGTGAGGTAAAGAAGGAGACAAAACAAGGGATTGTAGACAGTGAGGTAAAGAAGGAGACAAAACAAGGGATTGTAGACAGTGAGGTAAAGAAGGAGACAAAACAAGGGATTGTAGACAGTGAGGTAAAGAAGGAGACAAAACAAGGGATTGTAAGACAGTGAGGTAAAGAAGGAGACAAAACAAGGGATTGTAAGACAGTGAGGTAAAGAAGGAGACAAAACAAGGGATTGTAAGACAGTGAGGTAAAGAAGGAGACAAAACAAGGGATTGTAGACAGTGAGGTAAAGAAGGAGACAAAACAAGGGATTGTAAGACAGTGAGGTAAAGAAGAAGACAAAACAAGGGATTGTAGACAGTGAAGTAAAGAAGAAGACAAAACAAGGGATTGTAGACAGTGAGGTAAAGAAGGAGACAAAACAAGGGATTGTAGACAGTGAGGTAAAGAAGGAGACAAAACAAGGGATTGTAAGACAGTGAGGTAAAGAAGGAGACAAAACAAGGGATTGTAGACAGTGAGGTAAAGAAGGAGACAAAACAAGGGATTGTAGACAGTGAGGTAAAGAAGGAGACAAAACAGGGATTGTAGACAGATGAGGTGTAGACAAACAAGGGATTGTAGACAGGTAAAGAAGAAGACAAAACAAGGGATTGTAGACAGTGAGGTAAAGAAGGAGACAAAACAAGGGATTGTAGACAGTGAGGTAAAGAAGGAGACAAAACAAGGGATTGTAGACAGTGAGGTAAAGAAGGAGAAAAAATAAGGGATTGTAGACAGTGAAGTAAAGAAGGAGACAAAACAAGGGATTGTAGACAGTGAGGTAAATAAGAAGAAAGGATGAGAGAAGAGATGGTGGGGTTGGAAGTGGGCAAGGAAAATCCAAAACTGTGCCTCAGGTGATGTCCTGGGCTGCCCTTTCCATACCTCCCTATGGCATAATGTAACATTATCATCTGTAACAGGTGCCAACAATCTGATAGCTATCTTAACCAAATAAAAATATTCTTTTTGTGATGCTTCTCTGATATACACTGAAAGACAAGCTCTTGTGATAAAATTGACTGATTTTTGGAAATCACTGTTAGTTCCATACATCTTATTTTTTGCATTCAGTGGCTGTCAACCTTGGGCAGAAAGTTCTGGCTGTTCATCCACTTCTGGATTTTGGTATTGTTACAGAACTTGAATTTTGCCTGCACAACCATTTTACAGATCTAGTTTATTTGTGTGCAGACTTCTGGTTCCTTGCCTCTTAGGCAGATACACTTCGACTTCAAAGGAAACAATCCTAATGTCACCTTTCAGCATGTTTCCTAGGGGACAAGGGGCAGAGGTTCTGTTGTGGTTTCCCCCAAATTGGGGCCCCGGGAACAGACACCAAGCAGCTCCATACAACTCTGGAGTATGGTGTTGACTCAATGGGCCAGTATTCCCTTCTCAATGGGCTTTACACGGGACGGATGTACAGAACATGTTTTGCAGGTTGCACACACAGGCACAATGGTGAACTAGTTAGACAAAAATATACAAATGAGACTAAACCAGCTATTGAACACAAGCCAGTTTTTATCTCTTTAAGTCACAGGGGGTTTAGCATCACAGGCCCAAGGGGTAGTCAAAAGAGAAGTAAAATCGGCGCATCATGCGTTCATTGGGCTTCTAGGTAGGAATCTATGAACGTATGATACGTTCCTTGGGACTCAAAGAGTTAAATCCACCTCAGTTAGGATTTAAACCTGTGACCATGGGCCAGCAAGCACGTATTCTAGTTACTGCACATAAATGGCTACAATTTGTACAGCTGCAACAAAAACCCCATAAACTGGGTTACAGCACCAAGAAAATAACTTCTTCTTCTTCTTCTTCTTCTTCTTCTCTTCCACCTTGTACCTCATCGAAGTGTCGGGGGGAGATGTAATGTTCGTTGATGAGCTCTGTCAAGAGCACTATTAAGACTGATGTTCATTTCTGTAAGGCTGTTCTTAATGCCATCACTCCATCTTTTCCGAGGTCTTCCACTCGCTTTATACCCGTTGTAACGTTTTAGTGTGGCTCGCTGTGGCAGATAGTACCAGGGCATTCTTGTTAGGTGTCCAAACCATTTCATTTGTTGTTCTTTGATGACCTGTAAGACTGGCTTTATTCCTAGCATTCGTCTGATTTCATGATTTTGTATTCTGTCTTTCCTTGAAAACTCCTGCAGCTCTTCTAAGGCATTTCATCTCTGTTGTCACAATTTTACGTTCATTGGAGGATGTAAGTGTCCACGTTTGGCACTGATAGCATAGTATTGGCCAAAAAATAGTTCTGATAAGATTCACTTTAGTACTCTGAGGTATCTGCTTGTGTGTCAACAGGGGAGATAGTTGGCCCATTACTTGATTAGCTTTGGCACATCTGGAGCTAATTTCTCTGTCCAGTTTTCCGTCTGAAGTAAAAATTGCTCCCAAATACTTAAATTCCTCTGTTTGTCTCAGGGTGTTGTTTTTTAATTTAATTTCTAAATTGTCTTTATGTCTTCCTATCATCATTGTCTCTGTCTTCGTAGTGTTTATTTTCATATTATATTCCTCCCCTTTGTTACTAATTTGATTTAGGTGGTTCTGTAGGCATTCTATATTTTCTGCTATTAGTACCTGGTCGTCGGCGAAAAGTAATTCTGTTATATCTTCTTCCTGATTAAAGTCTGTTTCGCTACATATGGCGTCCATGTATGTTATGAAAAGAAGCGGCGATAGTACACAGCCCTGACGCACACCAGAGTTCACTATAAAAGTTCTAGACAACCCTGCCTTTGATCTTATGCAGCATTCACTACGTGTGTACAGGCTTTTGCAAATATTAATGAGATGATTGCTGATTCCTTTTTTCCCCATACATTCCCACAACATATTCCTGTCGACTCTATCGAAGGCTTTTTCTTGGTCTATGAATGTCAACAAACATGTCTTATCATGTTCTATTGCCCTCTCTGATAGTTGTCTCAATGTATAAATGGCATCTGTGCAACTTCTGTTTCGTCGAAAGCCCATCTGTGCTTCTGAAAGTTGATACTCTATCAATGGTCTCAGCCTTTTTTTCGATGATCTTAGCATACATTTTCCCAGTGTGACTGAGAAGTGATATTCCTCTGTAATTAGTACATTCCCTCTTACTTCCTTTATTTTTCCACAGCGGGACAATGACAGCAGTTTGCCAATCTGATGGTGTTTCTTGATTTTCCCATGCCACCTGAAATATTCTCTTTAACCATATTGCTCCCGTTTCTCCTGCTGCCTTGATGGCCTCAGCTGGTAGATCATCAATACCTGTCGCCTTTAGTCTAGGCGCGGTTCGAATGGCATATTTTACCTCATCCAATAATATACCTGGTTCTAGTTCCTCTGCTGTTAGTTCCGAGTTGTTTTTATGTTCTTCCCTGCTTTTATCTGTTTATTGCAGCTAAGTACTGCTTCAAAGTAATTACTCCACCTTGCTAAGATTTTAGTAGGTTCTATTAAAGGTTGGCCAACTTCATCATTTATAATTTCTGTTGGGTTGTATTCTTCATTCCTGTTTCTCATGCCTTTGATTTTTTTGTAGTAGTTTTTCACTGCTGATCTTTCTTCTTCAGCCAGCTTGCTTCCAAACTTTTCCCATGAATCTCTTTTTGCTTTTCTGATAGTTCTATTTACTTCTCTTCTAATTTTCCTGTATGTTATGTAATCCTCTTCTGTTCTGCTCCTCAACCAAATGCCATAAGCTTTCTTTTTACTGCTCACAATACTTCTTATTTCTTCAGACCACCATGTTGAGAGCTTACGCCCTATGTTACCTTTTCTTTTAGTTCCACACATTTCTTGTTCTATTTTCATAGTGGTGTCTCTGAAATTCAACCATTCTGTATTTGCCCCAAGTGTATTCTGTGGAAGCTGTTCATAATTTTCCTGTAATTTTCGCCTGTTTTCCTCACACTCTAGTTCTTTCTATTTTTTATGTCACTTTTATTACATTTCTTTTTTGTTTGATAACTTATCTTGACTTTTCTGTATCTAAACTCAAGTTTCGTATAACTCTCGAATCTGTAACTTCATGAAAATCTCTTTTTTTTTTCGTCAAGATGTAATCAGTCTGACTCTCGGTATCTGGATCTTTTCATTTATACCATGTAAAAACTTGTGAAGCTCTATGTTGAAAGAAGGTGTTGGTAATAACAAGGTCATGTTGTGTACATATATCCAACAGTCTTTCGCCATTTTCATTTCTAATGCTGTTGTCTCCATAATTGCCTAGGTATCTTGTGAATGTTCTTCTGTCTCGTCCTGTCTTACCGTTAAAATCACCCATCACGATCAGTTTCTCGTTATTATCTATCTTACAAATTTCATCATCCAGGTTCTCAAAGAAATAATCTAAATCCTCTTCACTGTAATTTCCATTGCACGGAGCATATATCTGAAAAAACACCTCCGAACTATTTCCTACTTGTAATTTCAAAACTTATAATTCTTTCCGAGATGTAGTTAACTTCAAGTATATTTTTTGCAGTTTCGGGATCGATGACAAATCCCACTCCATGCTTCGCACGTTGCATTTCTCTACTCCCGATTGTATCAAAACGTAATTTTTATGTAGTTTCTTCATTCCTCGTCCTTTCATTCTCACTTCTGATAAGCCTAATACTTTAACATTATATTTCTCCATTAATTCGATCACTTGTTCTTCTTTATTGCCCCATCCACATATATGATTGTCCCTACCCTGGTCTTAACCTTCTGCTGGCCTCTATTTTCCCTATTTCTAAAACATCTCCTATTTTCATCTTGGGCATTTCTTTTTGAACCGCTGAATCCTCCGCCGACTTGCCGGGCCTGTCGCGAATTCATCTTCAACTGAACAACTACACTACTCTAACACATTTAACATTCTTTCCAGGAATAAACATATCTTTTAGTCACAATTTTCGGCGAACGTTGTTTACGCCGCCAAATGAAAGACTAATTATTGTATATATATATATATATATATATATATATATATATATATATATATATATATATATATATATATATATATATATATATATATATATATATATATATATATATATATATATATATATACACACACACACCCATGTGTGTATATGAATGATAAAATATAGTATGTGAAATATATAATGAAAATATAATAATGAAAGTTTCACTGAATGAAATAATCAACCACATTTTAATTATCTTCATCCTCTGGTGAGGAGCGGCTGGCCGAATGATTAGAGCGCTAGGCTATCAAGCCGGAAACCGGGGTTCGAATCCTTGGTAAGGCTGGGGATTTTTCTGTGGAGGAGAAAATAAATTTCTCACCTGCACAGTCGTGCAGCCATGCCGCCGTAAATCCTATATTATGAAAAATCAGCAATACCATACAAGGCCTTCACAAAAAGATGGGAAGGATATAGGGCATGAGGTAGACCAACAACAAGATGGAAAGATAACATCAGAGACTTTCTACAACGGCACAGTCTGTTTATGATCAAGGTGGCCAGGAGAGCAAGAAACTGAACCATATACCTCCCTCTACACCTGAAGCGGTAACTGAGGAAATCTGCGTTATTCAGCATTATGATTTCATGTAGTGACATCCCTCCATGCTAGAACACAAGGCTGTCAAGAAACGTCTTGCTTTGTCTTCCCCTGTCTCTCTTTCCACAGATCTTCCCAGTGGCTGCAACATGTTCCAATTTCCTTCAGCTCACAATATGACACCAAAAAAAGATGACTGGGTTGCTCTTTTTGCTGTCCTAAGAATTCTAAGGATTCTTCTGTAAAATCATGTCTCCAAGTATGCAAGAAACTGTGCAGCTTTTCTATGTTTAATAATTGTCTATGATTTACGGTCATGTGTTAAAACTAGCTCTACATCATCATCATCAGGTGCCTTGCCGACTGGCGTGGGTGATCATGCCTCTCCATAATCCACGATCTCCTGCAGCATGTATCAGTTCGTGTGCCGATACACCTCCATGCCATGCAAAAAGACTGTCAAGAATCTTCCCTCGTTGTCTTCCTCTATCCCTTCCTCCGCAGATCTTTCCAGTGGTCACAACATGTTCTATTTTCCCTCTTCTCATAATATGGCCCAAAAATTTTGACTGTCTTCTTCTGATGTCTGTGATAAGTTGTCTTCGGGTTCCCACCTCTTTCAAAACCTCTTGGTCGCTCTTTTTGGATGTCCATGGTATTCTAAGCATTCTTCTGTAAAACCACATCTCTACATAGCATGCTCAAATGTCATAAACGGTTGATTAACGCATTCAGTTTGAAATTCGTTGAGTTATGTGCCCCATCACCCTCCTTTTTCTTTAAAAATTTGACCTTTATTATATCACATACTTATTGCTTCTAAGAACAGCTTCATTTGATAGACAGATAAAGCAGTAACTGTGTGGAACAGAAAGAGCGGAGTCATTTAGTCAACAACAAAAGCGGAGCTCAGAAAGCGACTGAAGACTAGACAAGACACTTGTCAAACTTCTTACCGCGTCCGTTTTTAAAGTATCCTCCACTCGTTTTGACTCTGACTCAAAAAAAATTGTTATCACAATCATAAAAATAAAAGTAAAACTAGATACTATATTTACAGGGCCCATTGCTGCCCGCCCGTCACTATTATTAAGTTGATAGCGCCAGTGAGAACAGTTTCAGGCTTAAACAGAAAGTTGTGCCGCCATTTTGAAGCGTATCACTGTTGCCTGGCAACGGTCACAACAAGACCGCGAGCTCATAAGAAACAATGATCAGATAAGAAACAGATGAAAACAAAACTGGGATATTCAAAATATGGTAATCTTGTGAGGTTCAGTCGGCAATGTGGCTAAGTCGATGCGAACGCTTCGCTTCGTAATGCCGGGATGCCGAATCCTGGAAAATACACACGCCAAACAATTTCTTGAGGTCTTGAAGATGTGGTTTTACAGAAGAATGCCTACAATTCCTTTGGACAGCTGAAAAGAGCAACTCAGATGTTTTAAAAGAGGCGAGGGTTCGAAGACAATTTATCTCACAAATATTGGAAAGAGAAAGTCATCGTTTTTTTAAATACATTATGAGAAGATGAAAATTGGAAAGTACTGTGCCCACTGGAACGATGTGTGAGGAAAAGCGATAAAGGAAGAAAGGAGATTCATTTCAGCTTTTTGTCAGGGCATGGAGGGTTGTCAATACACGAAATTATGCTAAAGATTACAGGTTGTTAAGAGGCATGATCCCTACCCCCACCCCCTCCTACCGCCAGTCGGCAAGGCACTTGGTGATAGTGGCATTACTACTGGGAGGGAAGCTTTGCCAAGCTTGTCCTCTGATGTCAAGATAGGAGACATCAGGTAAACGCTAACAACGTTCTGGAACAGTCATTGAATGTGCCATGGGAGCACTGTCTGCTACATGGGAGCACTGTCTGCTACATGGGAGCACTGTCTGCTACATGGGAGCACTGTCTGCTACATGGGAGCACGGTCTGCTATATGGGAGCACTGTCTGCTACATGGGAGCACTGTCTGCTACATGGGAGCACGGTCTGCTACATGGGAGCACGGTCTGCTATATGGGAGCACTGTCTGCTACATGGGAGCACTGTCTGCTATATGGGAGCACTGTCTGTCCATGGAAATGGTCGATGAGCTGTAAAAAAAAAACGGTTTTTTATTAATATCATACTCTGGATGCGTCACAGTCCAACATTTTAGAGAGTGGTAAGACTGGGTTTCCAGCTTTCTGATGCTTTTAAAGACCACAAAACCTATAGAACTGGCCCTAACCCCAACCCACCTACGTCCGATGAGAGAATGCAGCCTAGACCATACGACTGTATGCAGCCTATCTACCACTCACTGAAATATTAGAATGTCCAGAGACCTGTGAATTTCCCATGTTTTGGCGTAGGATAATAATAAAGCACCCAAAAAGGTTAAGACCTTTTTTTTCCGCCTTTAGGCGCATCGGGCATATGGGAAGAGCACCCTTATTTTTACAGACCAATCGGCACTATGTCGATGCACAGTAACGTCGATCATTACACACATAACACTACACCGGTATGTGCACACCGGCTGAACACAATGGTATCAAACTTTATATCATATCGTTAAACATTGATTTTTAAGGTCTTATGGGAGTGTTCCGAGTGCTGTGATGTCGGTTCTTAATTCATCAAGCTGGCAGCGCTGTTGAGTTTGTGTGACTGTTAAATTTAACCAGATAGATGCCAGTATTTGTTGATATTGTTCTGTTCAAAATCATCTCCTTTGCACGTTGAGCCGATAGATGCCAATATTGGTTAATATTTTTCTGATCAAAATCATCCCCTTTGCACGTTGAGCTGGTAGATGCCAGTATTGGTTAATATTGTTCAGTTCAAAATCATCTCCTTTGCACGTTGGGCATATCTATAAGTGCTCCGATCCTCTTCTAGGCAAATATTTTAGTTTGTTCCTACTGTTCTGTGTTGGTTAATGCACCGTTGGTTAGCGCTTGCGTGGTTTTCCTGTTCTAGTTTGAGTACCTAGTTTTAACTAGAAGTTATCTTCTTCTTTGCGTTCACTCCGGCAGAACTTTCTGGTTTTTCATCCACCTCTGGACTTGTCCCAGAACCTGAGTGTTGCGTCCACATCTGTTTTACAGTTCTAACTTATTTGCATGCAGACAGATGTACTCCGACTTCGAAGGAAACTCCCAATTAGTCGACTCTTACGAGATTCTTTTTGGGGAGGCACACGGACGTTCTTTGTGTTGAAAATGGAACTGTCCCTGAACCTTGTGCCGCTTGCCAGGTAGGGTTGCAATGCAACCACAACGCTAACATTAAACACTGCATTTATCCTCACATGTGTGAACACGAACGGTCAACAATGGAGCTGACTCAATAGTGATCGATTTCTGTAGGCAGATTTTAAACTGGTTAAACAATTACATTTAACATGGAATGAGAGCTGGTAGCTGGTAATGAAGTTGGAAATTTAAAAATAAAAATGCGTAGAGCCGTCTGGAGACGAAACAAATATTTTAATAACAAAAACACTGGAGACAAAACAAATACGTTAGAAACAAAAACAATAATAACATGATTTGATTCAAGAACTGACATCACAGCACTTGCGGCATTCCCATAAGTGCTCCGTCCCCATCTTCAGCAGCCAGCGAAGAGTTCCAATGCTAATGGTGCCAGTAGCATCCTGATTAAACGTCTGTCTTGCCTTTCCTCTGAGACTCGAGCATCTGCCAGAACCTCTCGTCACCCCCCCCCCCCCCCCCTTTGCATCAATCTCACCAGACTGTCGTGATCCATCTGCTCCTCCGAACTGTACACGCTCTCCCACAAGGCACTAACCACGTCTGCCTTATCATGTATCAGTATTCCACCAAGTTGTGCAGAACCAGCGAGTCTGTCCGCCTGTTCCTTTCCCAAAACACCGGTGTTACCCGGCGAAAAAAATCCAGTCAATACTCCTCCGTGTCCTCCACAGCGAAGCCTGCCACTCTACACGAAGCATACTTGTTCTGATAATAATAATAATAATAATAAAATGATAACTTAATGCCTTGGAGCGATTCTTAGCAAATAATACCTGCTGGCTAAGATTCTCAGAATGAATGCTACCAAACATAATGAGCAGGGATGTTGTGAAAATCAAGCTTCTTGAACCAGGTCAGTGAGATAACCCGTTTTGTCCTCAAAGGTTCACCTCAAAGTCCCTCTGGACCTGCCTCTTCCTATGTAACCTTGTAGTGTTCATTACATTGTCTATCTCGGCCGCCTCTCTTTCTTCATTCTGCGGACGTGTCCAATTTACCTCCATCTTTTTATTTCTAAATTTACATCTTCCAAGTCTGTCATTTGTTGGAATCTAGAATTGCTGAGTTTATCTTCCCATGTAAACCCCAACAATCTTCTGAGAAGTCTTCCCTCAAAACCCCTGAGAATATATGTGTTTTCCCAAGTTTCTGCTGCATAAAGGAAAACTGTCCTAACGTACGTTTTGTATATTCTGAGTTTAGTTTTAGTGGTGTAGATGTTTGATCTCCAGACACTCTGAAGTCCAAGTAAGCAAGGAGATACTGCAGGTGAAGTCAGTTACTGTTTCCAAACCTAAATTATCTATTACTATAGGTCTTTCACTTTTGAGGTTTATCTCCAGCAGTTTTGTTTTATTGACATTCATTCTTTTCCCCGTCTGTTTTGCTATTTCTGTAATCTTATGTCTTTTGTTGCAGAGGTTCGCTACTTTGGCTGATGACACAGATATCATCTGCAAAGTCCAAATATTCCAGGTGTTCGAGAAGGTTCCACTGAAAGCATGTCCTTGTGCCTGTGGTTGCTTTCTTCGTAACATAGTCTATCACTATGAGAAACAAGAAAGGTGACAGGATGCACCCTTGATGGTCTCCTGATGTTACCCTAAAGTATTATGATTCCATGAGTCCTACTTTCATTTTGTATTGGTATCCTTCATAGAGTGCTTTAAATATGTTAATAACTTTATCTTGTTATCAGTATGCTGCAAGGATCCTCCACATCAATGTCAGACTGTCAAAGACTTTTTAAAAGTCTCTAAGTTTATATATAATATCTGTTGGGACCACTGCATGTATCCATATTTTGTTGAATATTCCAAGTAATGCTTTTGCTGTAAATTGTGGGTCTTCCTTTAACATGTCAGCACTAATTTGGTCTTTACCTGGTGCTTTCCCATTCTTCATACTGCATCTTGCCATTTATATTTCTTTAACGCTGATTAGCCCAATATCCATTTCTAGGAGCTGGCTATCAGAAACACATCAGCAATATAACGCTACATTATTCTTCTTTTGTTCGCTTGAAATAAATTATCTATATCCGCAATGTTGTCAGTCCAGCGACCTGTAAATGCTACACAATTTTAAAATACTTGACAAATGTGTATATTTTCAGGACAGCTTTTGTCCCTCTATCTTAATCACACTTGCTTTGAAGAGATTTACAAGGAATAATACCAACAAAATTATGTCTGACAAAATTATCACTTCCCGTGAAATGTGAACAAATTTCACAACAGAAATACTCATTAAAATAGATGAATCAAACAAAGATAGATGTCAGCCGTAATTAAAGTAGAAACTATCCCAGTGCCAAGTTAAATATCAGTCTTGTAGTGGATTCCACAAAAATCTTCGCCTTCAGCAGTCTCTGGTCCTTTGTGAACAAGCAACAGAATCAGTAGAGAAAGAAGATTAGTATAGCCTGGGAAGAATGAGGCATCTGGGTGTAACCAGAGGGTCTGGCCGGCTCACTTCACTCAGAGGAAAGGCAAGACGGACATATAACCAGATTGTGACCGGTACCATCAGTATAGGAATTCTGCCCTGGCTGCTGAAGATGAAGACGGAGCATGGATGGGGAGTACAAACTGTGGTCATGCGCTAAATGCTCAGTAGATCATAAACTATGTCAGCTCAAGGTCTGTTGTTTCGGTTCATCTGGGTAGAGATTCAACATCAGTCATTTCCACATTAGTTCCAACTCCAAGAGTCTCCACACTGATGGTAATGTCGTCTCTGGTTAACTAATCTTGTCACCCTTTCCACACACACCCTCCCGCACATCTCTGCAGCACCT